ATGGAGCACAGTTCTACTCTGACATACATGGAGTCACCATGTGGTGAAACTGATTCCATGGCAAGTTGTTTAATATAGGCAAAATTAAACAAAAGCTAGACTCTCCAGTAGCTGTATTGTTAGCAATGTATTGATAGCAACCTTACCAAGACTTGAGTTGATGGGAACAAAAGAAATCCTTAAAGTCTCTTGCAAATGGGAAATGGGATATTAAGAAGGTTTCATTTTTGAAATTTTAAATCCTAAAACTCAGTTGTAATAATCTTTGCCAAACATATAGTGACTAACAGAAACTGTTCTCAAGGAAAACAAAGTTAATTTATGTCTCTCTTCTAGTTATCCTCCTCCGCCGCCCCCATCTTTCCCCTGCCCCCTCAACTCAACCAAGCCAAAAGACAACCTCTGGTTACTCTCTTGGGAAAATCACAATTTTTCATTCTTCAGAATGATTTGATGTTACTTTTGGCCTCAGAAGATTGATAGAGAGATTCATTTTAATCATCAAGCCAAGCAGGGGCTGCAAAGAACCCAGACTACCAAGTACCTAACGTAAACATATCTGGGAATCGCGGACCTCACTTTACATTCCAGATCCGCAAAACTGAGGCAACACACAGCAAATTGTTTGGGGGCGAAAAGAGAGGCGATCGGGTGTGTTTCATTAGCAAATTAATTCGCGAAATCTGATAATAGGTTCGAAACATTCACAGTCTGGGGTGGAGTAAAGGAGTGATCACTTAAATTTATTTGGAGAGGAGACAGCAGAAATTGAAGTGTCGGATGACAACCCAATATTGCTGTTGCCAGGTGCCTGGCATCCGGGAATTGTGTGCGCCACCATTCACTTTCCTTCCACTGATGGGTGATGTAGCTGTCTCCAGGGAGGGCCCTCCCTTTCTTCAAAAGGGTCCTGGGGCGATCGCCTGGGCCAAGACTGAATGGTCGGGACGCAGAGGTCTCCCTACACCTCGGTGCCTGCGAGTGGCCCACGGTGTTAAGCCGCACATGGGAAGGAGGCGATTGTTTCGGAGACAAGGGCACTGCTCCGGAGGATGGGAGCAGAAGCAGAAGTGGTTATTTGGAAACGCAAGAAAAGAAAAGAAAACCTCGCAGCCGCGCGGTGGCCTTTCCGAGGGTGCTCGCCTGCAGCCAGTAGAATCCACGTTCCGCCCTCGCTACGGCTGCGGTGACAAAAGCGCGCAGCGCCAGCCGACCCGCACTGTGGGGTGCAGCGTTGGGTGCGGACAGGGTTGTGGAGCGCTGGGCTCCCACGGGACCAACCACTCACGTCTGTCTGTGCCCCTCATCCTCGCTCCTCCTTCCCTCTCCTTTGACTCCGAGAAGCGAGTCGCTTGACTTGGAGACCGACATTCAGAGATCCTGGGCTATAGCGCGCTCACCTGTACTGGTCGAACTTGGCGTACTCAGCCCAATCGGCGGGGTTGCTCTCGTAGGCTTCCATGACGGCCTGCACCTCCTCCACATTGACCTCGTCGCCGGAGAACAGATGGTATAACATGCGGATCAGATCGGCCAGGGTTCGTGGCTTTAGCACCTCGGTCTGCTCCATCTCGAGCAGAGCTGGCGGCGCGCGCGTCTCACTGCTGAGCTTCCGCGGAGTCGCAGAGACTGGCGAGGGACCTTTGTCGTCAATTACAGGCACAGACACAAAACCCCCGAATGCTCCAGTTACCAAATGTAAAGTATCCTTTGCAAAATATCAAGCGCCACCCCCTCAGTGCAGCGTGGTGGGGTGGGGTGGAGTGGGGGGGGGACAACCTGAACTTGCTAACGGATGAGCAAAAGACGAAAGCCTAAACCAAATCCGCAGAGTTCAGTCTCCTGAGCCCCTTTTAAGCTCTCAGATTCAGTGGGAATGTACCAACGGCCTCCGGGGTGGAGAGAGGCTGGCAGCTATCAGAGAGAGGCCGTGGAGGCGGGGAGAGTATGAGGGCGAGGCCCCCGCACGCAGTCCCGGTTTCCAGAGCCCTCTGAGCTTTCTCTGGTGTCCACTTCTTTCCTGATGGGTTTTGCTTTTGGTGGGCTTCGCGCACTCTTCCCCCACCCTAAAAAGACGCATTTGACGCCCATTCCAACCCGGCTCCGGGTGCCTCCCTCCAGTGCTGTGGTTCGCGACGCTGGGAACGTAGACAGAGGATTTGGAGAAGATGGCTGAGAAATGGGAAGGAAAACGACCCTTCCTTCCAAATGGAACAGAGAAATCTGCAAAGACTGGGGACGGATTCCACTTCCAAACTGGAGAGTGACTATATTTTGCACTCGATTGAAACTAGCCATACATAGGTATCCCAGGCTGGTGAAAATCAGAAATCTTCCTTTAAAAAAAAAAAAATTGTAACTCTAACTACGTTGTTTTCATAAGCGATTAGGGTATAGTTTAAACTAGTGAAACGCTGAAAGGCCAAGCATTCCTAATTCTTTATTTAAAAATCTCCTGGTTCTTTCATTCAAGGAAACACATTTGTATGTTCTATATGCAAAGCTGAGGCATGCTGTGGGAATACAAGTTAAATATAGTTCAAAATTGGGGGGGAAGTGGATAAAAGAAATGTTAAATATAGTTTCCTTCTTTTTCAGATTATATATGACCAAGGCAATAATTGGATTTGAGATTATTAAAGGTTTGTTGTTAAGTGCCATCGAGTTGGTTCCAATCCATAGCGACCCTATATAGAGTTTCTGAGTAGCGACTGGTGAACTTGAACCACTGACCTGGCAGTTCAAATGGCTTTGCAGTCTGGCGCATTAACCCACAGCATTACACCACGACTCCAGTAAAGGTGTAGTCTTCTATAAAATGAAACCATAATTTACTTGTGCCACCTGCTGTCCAGGTTAAACTGATTCTAATAATGTTGTTAGCTACCATCCAATGGTGACAGTAGTCACAACTGGACCAGACTGTTGTGAACCATAGGATTTGCAATGGCTGATAGATTACCAGGACTTTCTTCCTAATCTTAGGCCGGAAGTTCCGAGTGACCCTGCTGGTACTTGCAATACTATTGGTAGCTTCCTGCATCATATCAACATGCAAGTCTCCATTGATAAATGGAGGGGGCTAACCTTAAGGTACATTGTTGTTGTTGTGATGTGCCCTGGAGTCGGTTCCGACTCATAGAGATGCTGTACAGGGTTTCCGAGGCTGCAAATCTTTACGGAAGCAGAAAGCCTCATCTTTCTCCTGCGGAACAGCTGGTAGTTTCGAATTGCTGACCCTGAGGTTAGCAGCCCAAATGGTAACTACTGTGCTACCAGAGCTCCTTTAAGGTACATTGGTGTGAATTAAATCCTGCTCTTCCAAATAGGCAAAAATGAAAGTGTTACAATGTTACAATACCTTCAGGTTCTTCCCTTTCCCTTCTAGATGGGCCATTTGGTGTGAGGTGTGGTTGATGAGTGGCGCCGGGTTGTTTTTTACCTTTCATTGGTGTCACAATACCCCCATCCTGGCAGTAAAAAAACCCAATGGGGCCTACCGCCTAGTTCAAGACCTTCGGCCTATTAATGCAGATGTAGTCTTAATTCATCCAGTAGTCCCCAATCTTCCATTCTTTCTAGCACCACACATTTCTCAGTCCTTGATTTAAAAGATGCCTTTTTATTCTATCCCCTTGCACCCAGAATTATTCCCTTTTAGCAGCACCCCTTTATGATGCCTCAAAAGGCAATCCCCATGAACCTTTAGACCCTCCTATTGCTACCCCATTTTTACAGCTCAAGTGCCAACTGCTAGAAGCCCCAGCCCTGCATTTACTTGATCTCACCTGTCCCTTTTATGTTTATGTGTCTGAAAATAAAGGGTTTTCACTAGGAATTTTAGGCCACCAATTAGGCCCTACATTTGCTCCAGTAGCTTATTTATTTAAAAAAACTGGATCCTACCATCCGAGGATGGGAATCTTGCTTGCGGAGCTTAGCTGCAGCCTCCCTTTTAATCCAAGAATCAAAAAAAAAATAACTTTTGGAGCCCCAACTATTGTCTTATCCCATCATGCTATTGATGATTTGTTAAACTATAAAACCTACAGGATTTACCCCCTTGCAGGATTCTTTCGCTTCAAACCTCACTCCTCCATGATCCCTCATTAACCTTCCAGTTATGCCCAGTCCTTAATCCTTCCACCCTACTCCCTGTGGCAGACCAGGAACCGATTCACAATTGCTTAGAAGCATTAGAAGTCTTCTTGTCACATGACTCACACATCCAGGAAGGACCTCTTTCCTCCCCCAACCTAGTTTGGTATACTGATGGTAGTTCTTTCTCCCAAGATAAAATCAAGCGGGCAGACTATGCCATTGTATCTGAAAGTGAAGTCATTGACCAGGGCTCCCTCCCTCCTCAAACAACTAATCAACAAGCAATGCTGATCGCCCTCACACGGGCCTTTACCTTAGCTTCAGAAAAAAGACTCATGGTTCATATAGATTCCAAATATGCCTTAAGCAATTTTTACAACATCTTTCCTCCACCTGTGAAATTTGCCAAAAGACAAATCCATCTTTTAAACCCACCCCTTTCCCTACACACCAAGCCAGGGGTCTGCTCCCCGGCCTGGATTGGCAAATAGACTTCACCCACATGCCCAAAGTTAAAAGGCACAAATATTTTTTACTTCTAGTTGACACCTTTTCTGGGTGGGTTGAAGCTTTTCCTACCACAGACAAGCGAGCCTCCACAGTCTCTGCTTTCCTTTTCTAGGAAATTATTCCCCGCTTTGAGCTCCCTACTTTCTCCAGTTGGACAATGGCCCCGAATTCACTTCCCACATAACTCAAGGACTGGATAAATTATTGGGAATTTCTTGGCACCTCCACATCCCCTTTCACCCTCAATCATCAGGGAAGGTGGAGCGAACCAACAGGTCAATCAAAGCTGTCCTTACTAAGTTAACCCTAGAACTTCATGCTGACTGGGTCTCGCTTCTCCCATTAGCCTTGTTACGCCTCAGATCTTTGCCTAAAGCACCTCTCCAAATTTCTCCTTTTGAACTAATGTATGGATGCCCTTTCCTACCTCCGGGACTAAACCCCGAAGCATCTGCTCTTCCACCATCTCTTTTAGTAGTAAGCTGTTTAAATTACTTAAGAACTTTATTATGACAACATGCGGACTCACTTTTACCCTCATCTTTTCCTGCATTACCTTGCTTCTACCAATCAGGAGACATGGTCCTAATTGCCCCTCCGAGCCTACCAAAAGAACCCTTGAAACCCAAGTGGATTGGTCCACATAAAGTAATTTTAACCACCCCTACAGCAGTTAAGTTAGAGGGTCACACAAGCTGGTTCCACGTCTCAAGGGATAAGCCCTTCCACAGCCCTGCTGGAGGACTCAAACCATCATCCCCTCCTAACTATAATGCCAAGCATCGCTTCGGAAAAAGAGGGCAATCCTAGTAGCAATCCTACCCCAATACCTACGCTAGGTATTGGGGCGGGCATAGCTACTGGAACTGCAAGCATATTCCATTGATGGAGGTTTTGCTAGTTGGTTCCATAATCCACTATTAAATTCCCTGCTTTCCTTTCTAACCCCACTATTAGTTACTTTACTGGCAGTTGCCCCTTGTGTTCTTCGTTTTGTTAGATCGCAGGTTCCGAAGACCTAGAACTGCGGGCCTAAGCCCAGTCCAGCTGCTGACTTGGTTCCATCGCTTCTTGGTATCCCATTGAAGAGCCCAATGGATACTGACAACACCGCCAACAATGACAAAGCCATCGCTGACGGAGGTCCAAGTCCAAAGACCAAAGACAGCCTCGTTGCCCCAATGCCAGCAGGAAGTAGCTACAGAAAAATGACCTTCGTCCCTTCTCCCAAGGGCATGGATCATAGAGACGGCCATTCATTTTTCTTATTTAACCAAAGAAGGGGAAATCTTACAATGTTACAATACCTTCCTGTTCTTCCCTCTCCCCTCCCTCCAACTCCATTTTGTCTGTTTCCCCGCCCTAAGCTACAAGGCGCATAGTTTAAAGGGCAACATGGCTTTTGATAGGCCAGAGCTAAATCACCCCAGCAATGACCACTCCCTTCCTGTTGAACCTATATAAGTCTCCTCCCTTCCCATTGACTTCCTCTTCTTCTTCCTCTCTTCCCTTCTGCCTCCTGCCTTCTCTCTCGGGCAGAG